TTGTAGGAGTCGTTCCCAGGCTACGATCCGCCGTTATATACCGCACAGGAAGTGGAAGCCATGCCAGCCTGGGCCGATCCCGACATACTAGAGTGAGTAAAAAAATCTAGCAGGGGCCACAAGAAAATACAAGAAATTTACCCAGAATTCACGACTCCTCTCTCGTAACTCTTTCCAGCAAGCTTGCGCGGACAAAAAAACAACCAATGAGGCCTAGCATCTTTGAATTTTCCATCTCAAGCTGCTTCACTCTTAAATGCCCTCAGAGCAACAAAGAAATAACCACGTGCGATTTACGCTGCGATCTGTCTAGTCAATCTAGTTGCTTTTGCGCTCGTTTTCATTTTTATTTACCTGTCCTGGATAATGCTTAATTATTTGTTTGTATTTTTAGCCCAAATGACGCGACTACAGCTATCTTGTTTAACTTTGAGGACCAAGGAATCAACAGAAGAAGTCACACAGGACTGATTGACGTGGTCAATCGATTGCCAAGGTGTCTTTCTTAGGCACTTTTGTTTGTTTCTTTGTTTGTTTTTATGTTTTAGAATTAAAACGAATCCGATGATTGCAGACCATCAAATGGCGTAATTTGCGTGCAGACTCTCGTGATCAGCGATTCAGCACGAGCGTTTCTTCGCTACGGGAAAGAATGAGGCCTGCAAGGGCTGAGAGATCTTCAAGGGGTCTGGCACCGAGCCAGATCCACGGAAAACCTTTTCCCGACTCGCCTCGGAGAAACGCGGGCCTTGCAGCTCTAGTAATGAGGTCCTGCCCGCAAACTACAGATAAGGACAATAGCTCTACTTTCAGATGCGCGTACACCTTACAGACTGGTTTCATAAATGATGAATATTCAGTGTTATTTTCCTTACTTTTAAGCTATATTTTGTTGAATAGAAATCCGATGGGGAGGACAGGCATCGCAGGACGTGGCTTGTTTGGTCGCTGGGGACCTAACCATGCAGTTCATGTTGTTGTTACAAGGTGGGCCGTGTTAAATCTCTGCCGTTCTGTACCAACTTTTTCCGCTTATTTCGCCTTGTTGCGCGTCGTTCTGCCCGCGCTATTGACGGAGTAAATTACTGACGGAACGATTTCTGTTTGAAACAATCATTGCCATTTCCAAAGGACAGATAAATTTCCGAGTGCTGCACTAAGTTCAGATTAAATTCTAAGTTTCGTTATTCCTCTACCTTCTCCCATTTTCAGATGGAAGATCGGCGAAGACGGTCAAGTCCTACGAAAGCAAGAGAGAAATGTTCTGGAATTCGTGGCAAATAAAAACCTAGACAGCTTGGAATGGGAAATACCCGGGGTATGATTTTCTGAAACTTACAATAACACATACGCGCAATGTATATTTTGGAGTCAAAAGTAATCCGCCATTGCATTCATACTTAATTTCTACATATTCCTATCGGTCACCAAAACCTAGCCTCTTTCTCAACCAATCAAATAAAAAATTAAAACCAATAGCGATCTGGTCAACAGGGTTTTCCCGCGCTTTACATGCTGTCTACATTTGTTTACTTCGTCTACTCATTTGCCCCCTGTTATGGTATTTCTCGAATAGTGGGCAGCTTTTCTTTCTCTTTCTTCGCCTCTCTCCAGCTTTTTTTCAATTCCTACATCATTTTAATCGTATTGGATTGCCTAACATTTTCAGGAACTGTTGGAAGCTGGCGACTCAGCGTTGTGCACTTTGAAAAAGATTTTTACCAACAAAATTCTTGCGAGTGTCAAGTCTGATATCAAAGAGGGAAAGGAAAACTTGGACAAATGTATAGATACGATAGTCAAAAATGCTGCCGAGGTATGCTTCATTGTGCGACGGTCTTTAAGGGGTATTAACTTTAGCTTCCTTAATATAATGTATCATCAAATTTGCAATAGAAAAACAAAGGTAGCTGCTAGTTTTCAATAATTGATCTTAAGTCGTTTTCTCACAGTTGACAAAGTACCCTGACACCTTTCAAGTTCTGGAAATGTGTTGACATCAAGACGGGGCAAATAAATGTGTCAAACATTTTAATGAGGATGACGAAAACCAACTGCGTTTAATCCTTTAACTCCTAAGAGTGACTGGCTTCTAATTTCTCCTTACAGTATCACCCTTAAATCAAATATATATAGGTCATGAGAATAAAGGAAATGATCACAAATTCAAGAAACGTCTGATTGTCTATCAAATTCTCCCCATCAGTACCATAAGAAATGTAACAAGAACAGTGTGGAGAATATGAGTATCAATGTAAGGGTGTGAAACGTTAATCTAAAAAGAACGTGAAACATGAATGCAGTACACCTCAGCAAGAGGGCATCATGTGCTGTCTTGACTTCAATTTAAGTGTTATTGGCTTTTGCAATGAAAAAAGATACTAGTATTGATATAAAACCCATAATCCATTGGAGTGATTGCCTTGTGCTTCTGTCCCCATTTCGTTCCTTGCCAGGGTATGGAAAGACAATTTAACGATTGAAATATCAATTGAAGAGCTTGATTATCGAAGATCTTGCGAAATACGTTTTTCTTTGGGTGCCTTGACTCGCCTCATCTGGCGCACAAAAATAAATGGGTCGGCTTTGATGTGACTAATATTACCACCCTTAACTTCAGTTTTCTAACAGCACATGGAATATCTTTTGTCATATCACTTATTATCACTTTGGTCAACCCGTGAAATTGTAGGTCTACAGAGGATACGTCGATGACGTCAAAAATACAGATAACGCTTGGTTGGAAACAACGGCAATGCATTTCCATGACAACAAGAGGGAAATGCTGGGTGACATCGAATTTGAGGTATATGCAAATGATACAAGACTGATCGAACAGGCCCTTCAGTCTTTTTCGAATAGGTTTCATTCTACCGCTTGGCCTTAAAGTAAGGAAGAGACGACTTATCGATACTTACAATTTATTATTTACAAGAGAGAGTCAAAGATTCACGATAACAACTCTAATTTTGTTTTTGTAATATTTGCACTCATCTTTTAGGTTGAATCCAGTATATGCTGGCAAGAGGTCAGCAGTCACACTAACATTCACGACAGTCATGCGCATGTTTTGAGCAGAGTGGCCGCGTTGGGAATGGCAAATTTTTAAACATTGGAACTGGTTGTCTGGTTGAGGATTGCAAAGGATGATATATTTTATCAGGAAAGTGTAGCCGTAGATTGTAGGGAACCATCCATGGCCATCGAACCATAGCTAGCTTTGGCCATTTTTTCAGTGCTGAGAGAAAATGGAGACCATTTGATGATTGTAGACGAAGATAAATACCAAACAGAAGAGTTCGAGTGACCTGTATAGAAAACTAAGTTATACTACTCCACGATAGGATCTTAATTTTTCTGTTACTATTCTTTATATCATCGCCAGTGACTATGACAAAGTAGAAGAATTTATTAGTCTCATTGAAAAAATAAAAAGAGTTTAGCTTGAGATTCTAACCTCAAAGCATACTCGGCCTACATCTCCTTGAATCTTAATTTTTTTTTTTTTAGTTGACGCCTAATCTTATGCCCTGATTCTGAGCACATTAGTGTAGCCGGCAGTCACTGGGAGCCTGGGTAAAGAGCACTTTGTTGTCGACGAAATCTGCTTAGAATTTCATGTCCAAAAATTTAATTTTTTTTAATAGGCTGTGGGTACACATGCCTGAATAGAGTTTTCATTATTTCAACAAGACGTTTTTGAATGTATCATAAGAGAAACAGAATAATTTTCTAAATTAATCAGATTTTGTTTGGAAGCCCTTGTTTGTCCAAGCACTTGAAGAAAGTCAACAGGAGAAATATTGCCAACATGTTATACTTTTTTTCATATCTTCCTTCCCTCTAGCCGGTTACGATCTCTCCTACCAAGTGAAAATGAGGAGACAGGGCAATCAGGGCATTAGCGGGGTTGTTTTGATTCCTCTAAAGTTATCTTGAGGGAACAAAATTCTCTTCAGCTATATTTTTGCATCATAAATTCTTGCCCAAAAATGCCAGTTCTCTTCTATGTCAACGGCGTTTTCTTTTACACTTCTGTGCTGCCCGTCATTATGCGAATTCTAATCAAATACCCATTCTAGTTTCGCTGTCATGAGGACGCCTCGGGAAAAAGACTTCCGTTTGAAAGACAATCTATCCAAAGCCTGGATCAGGATCCCTCCTTTGTCTACCCACATTTTCTCTTGCATTCACCCGTACAATTTTGTCGTCATCGCCTAATCCCGTGGGCAGCTCAGCTCAATTGTAATTAGCGGCTAACTCTCGTAGCAGGCCAGTGACAGCCCAGGGGAAGTCTATAAGTTATCTTCCATCGCACTTATGATCGGTACAGAAGTAATCTAGGATTGCAAAGGATTTGCTGCACTGCTGTAACCTTACTCGGTGATTCCTTAAGGAGGGGGGCATTGGGATTTTCGGTTTCGCAGTTTTGGCTATTTTTTAGGTCGGTTTCTTTTTTTTGTTTTGGTGTTAATTGCGGATTTTCCGTTTTTCAAGATTTGGTTTTCGGTTCTCGTAAAAAACATCAGTGGGTTTTGGGATTTGGTATCCGATGTAGTTTTCGTTTTTTCTTATGTGGGTTCCGGTTTCTCCTCCATGGGCAATTATGCGTCTCCACTGATCTCGAACTGTATCGGATCGATTAGGGTTTTGATAACTGGGATGTGAAAAATTATCGGTTTTGACGGTTTTGCAAACGGTTTTTGGTTTTGCTCGAAGTTTTTTTGCTGTTTTGGATGATTTTTTCTACGGTTTTGTGGTTTAATTCAAATAGACCCCAATGCCCTTCGTTAAGGAGGGCATTGGGGTCAACAAACTAAAACCTGTAAACAAATCGCGACTTGGCTAATTGTTTCAACTCTACTCATTGACTCCTTCAGATATCCTCTCGAGCTGTTTTCACGTCTTTCGTTGCCAAGTGCCCTGCAGAATTAATTCATGATCGTGTTCTTGTACCCAGGCTCCTAGGATATATACCGTATATCAAGCCCCCAACCCACCCCTGCTTTCCTGTCACGTTCGTGTGTCAATCCAGCTGGATCGTTAGATTTGCATTCTTGACAAGGTATTCATTGAGCTTATTTCTCCAAAACCAACCATGAAAGGACGAGTCATTATTTTCTCCATCACCGGCTGTCCGTTCTGTATGAGAGCAAAGGACAAAATGCAGAAACTTGGCATCGAATACATGGACATCAATTTGGATACCTACCCAGAGCGACGAGCAGAGGCGAAGGAAAGAACCGGAAAGAACACTGTGCCGCAAATATTTTTCAACAACATACATGTCGGTGGATTCGACGACTTTGATAAATTGGTAAGAACAAACATATTTTCCTTCATTGTTTTTGTAAGATTTCAAGATCGCCTTATCCAACATGTGTAGGCTTCCAAGCATGTCAACCCGGAAAAAAGAAAAGTTAAAGCTTTACTTCTCAGTTAATTATTATTTTAGCAACTGTTCCCTCATGTTACCTTTGGGTAACAATCACATTAAAAAATTCAAGTCTTTTCAGACCAATATTACTGACTGTCAACCATTGTTAAACAAAATTTACATGCGAGTAATTAGTCAAAATAAACATGAGATAGAACACACTACAACAGTCTCTATTATTGCATATTGCTTGTCTGTAGTGCGGCACATTGTTGTTGGTAAAATATTCATTTTACTTTTACGTATATCTTAAGAAAATAGCCCAATATCTTCCCTTTTATGATGTCTGCCGTTACATCAACGCAAATATATTGACTACAGCTCTACGTGTTGTTTGTCATGTCATGGTGACACTGCATAGATATTATCATCTCTGTAAATAACAAAATGTATATATGGACAATAATTAACGCATGCAAACATCACAATCAAAACAAAGAGTGACTCTAAAAACATAACTGAACATGGACAGCTGTGAATTTCATTGTTTTCACTGTTTGTTTAGTTTTAACATCAGGATCTGAGTTAAACTGCTCTTTCTAACACTCCAAAAATTCAGATGATTTGATTAACCCTATACATCCTTACATCAGTATGCATATTCTCCATACTGTTCTACATACATTTCCAAAGTTGTTGACTAGATGAATTTATTTAACAATCCAGAGCTTCTTTAGTTGGTGATGATTTCCTTCTATCTTGTGACCTTAATGTGTGATTCAGGGGTCAGATACTGTCAGGAGAAAGTAGGGAGTTAAAGGCTAAACAATTGTATTCCCACTGCTGCAATCATAAAGTTCTATGCAGTTATGAAAACTTCCATTGTTTACAGTTAATACAATCAACATTTTAGAGCTGAACTAGGATCAAAAGAATGGAACTAATGGTGTAGTAAATTTTAGTAATGACGATAAAAATGATACCGTCTAATCAACTTCATCACCTGACTGCACATCATCAGAAACCTTTCATCCCTTGATCCTTTAACCTGACATGACAGTTCCTAGTTTTATCATAAGTCTTGGCCAGGGTATCCATACATGAACATTGGGCTATGAATTTCAATCTGCATACTTTATTCATCTTTTATGGGCAAGTGATGTTTTGTTAGATGAAGATTCTATTTGTAACTTTTAATTTTTTTTTCTTGATTTTGATTCATTATTGATAATGACTTTCTCAGACTGAGGCTGAGCTTCAAGAGTTGATTAATGAAGTAGAAGAGAATCCTGCTCCAGCAGATGCTCCTCAACCACCAGCCCCCAAGTCAGATGCAGCCAGTAGTGGTAAATCTCACCTTTATGTTTGTTAGATGAAAAAGATTCTTGAAGGGAAAGGGGGGTTAATGAGTACTTCCTTTAACCCTTTAATAAGACAAGAGTGACCAAGGTAGATTTCTTCTTACAATACCAATACAATATCAAGCAGGAAAGTGATGAGAATGAAGAAACATATCAGTTAAGGGAGTTGATCCAATTCCAAATTTTCCAAACCAACATCATGATTATCAATCATTTGATAGACAGTATGGAGAATTACAACTGAGATCTTGGGAATTGAAAGGGTTCATCAAGATGCTAAAAAATATGGACCATTTTTTCTAGATAGGAGTTAACCTTTTAACTCCCAAGATCTCATTAGCAATTCTCCTTACTGTCTGCCACACAGTTCTTGTGATGTTAGTTTGAAGAATTTGGTATAGGATCAACTAATAATCCCCTGATTAATATTAGTCTTTATTCTCATTACTCGTCTGCTTGATATTGCATCGATATTGTAAGGAGAAATTGTGTCTTGGTCACTCATGGGAGTTAAAGGGTCAAAGGGATATCAGCTTTTTGATCAATTGGTATGCAGTAGAACTGATGTCAACAATTGATAATGACAGTTTGGAATGCTAAGTTATGTACTGAATATCAAGCCTTTGCAAAAGTGTACCATGAGAGATACAAAACAGTTTCATTTGATCATTGTTGTTCAAGTTGAACCCCTGTTGAGAGCCAAATAGAGAGAAAATTAAATGAAATCATTCCAATACTCAACAAAAGAGAGCAAATCTTCCCTTAATATTTTTTTCACTGGTTGTATTTGCAAGGTGAAATTCAAATAATCATCCTCATTAGAAACCGAAAAAGGTGTCCTTGGTTGCAGTCATGGTATGGTGGGAATAATGATGTTTCAGTGAAAGGAAGCTTGTAGGGAAGGAGATGGTCTTAAGGCAACTATTCACTTTAAATAAAAATGTTAATGTTGGACTAGATAACTAGCAATCCCTTTTTTTTCCAAGTGCTGATTTTTAGGACTCACGTGACAAACTGTGCTGAAAAGGAAGGATTTCTCTTAGTCTAAGGTTGAACTGTCCAGTAGAGCTTCTCTTTTCAACATTTTACCAAAGGAGTACACCCTCAACCATTTTGTCTTCAATATACTCTTATTGGATAACATCTCTTATTGGATAACATTATGTGATATGAAATCAATATATTAACTTTAATCTGTGTGTTTGCTATTTGCAGCAACCACAAGGGAAGCAATTGATTTCACTTGTGAGCTGGATGAATATGCTCAGCTTGTCCAAGAATTTAAAGAAAGTGGTCTTATAAAGGATCGCCGCAAGGGTCTCATTCACAATTACAAAAACTCCTTTGTTGGCAAGGAAGCTGTGGACTGGCTTGTGAAGACAAAGAAAATAGGCAAGTAGTATTATAATCATTGCGTGTTACTTGACAGAAAACTCAATGCAGTAGGAGTCACAGTCACAGTGGGGATCATGCTGGAGTAAGGGGTTGTTGGGCTAAAGCTCTGGCAAAGGTCATTCTGTTGTGTTCTTGGACAGGACACTTAACCCTTTTACCCCTAAGAGTGACTAACATCTAATTTGTTTACCCGCCATATCACCCCTGAATCACAAATTAAGGTCAAGAGAGTAGAGGAAATGATCACCAACTTAAGAAGCTCTTGATTGTTAGACAAGTTCTACATGTCCATAGGAAATGTATAGAGAACAGTATAGATAACAGTATAGATAATACTTTATGCATGCTGTTGTTGGGGTGTGGAGGGTTACCTGTCAAAGGGTCTCTGCCTAGGAGTAGAAATGGGTACCTGTGATCTGTTAGAGAAACTTGACAAATTGCTGGGGAGTAGCTGCAATCAAAGGATTAGCATCCCTAGTGAGAGGAAAAGCAGTACTCCTAATTGCACTATGTTATGGAGACTTGAGCAAGCTGCAGACATGATAATGGCCACTGAACTTGTTTGTGATTTTTGAAAAGATCCTTGGTTGTTGAGTGCATGTGATTTCTGAAAAGACTTTTGATGTGCTAATTGGGTAATACTTTATGCATGCTGTTTTTGGGATGTGGAGGGTTACCTGTCAAAGGGTCTCTGCCTAGGAGTAGAAATGGAGTGTTTAGAGCTTGTAATACACAGAAATAGTCAAAAAAAATATACTTATATATATACTGATCTAAGCACATGAAAGCTAGCTGTCCTTGAATAACTTTTCCCGAATTTTTGGTTTAGATTATACAGGCTTCTATTTTTATCAATGAAATGTTTAATTTTTGCAGGAAATGATATTATTTTTGCATTTTATGATTAACACTTTTACGAAGCTTGCACAATTTCAATAAGTTTGAATGCACTCAACATTTTAACATCCTGATGTTAAGGGTGGAGCAAAATCCTTGATTGTCCAAAGTGACAGAAGTGTTCATTGTTGTACAATTCATTTTTTGAAATACACGCGCAACAGAATGTTAGTGATAGTACCTCTCAAGGGTAAAAATGATATCAAACACACTAAAAAATAAACATTCTGGTACTTCATCAAAGAAGTTTCTTGTTCACTTTTAGGTGAAAGTCCATGCACTTCTAATTTCCAGATAAATACTGTTGATTAGATCTTGCGTTATCTTTGAACATTTCCTTTTTCAGGAAGAGAGAAAGCTGTAGAGATGTGTCGTGAGCTTGTTGAGCGCAACTTTGGACATGGTGTCGAAAAAGGAAAGCACACAGAGTTTAAGGACGATAACAGCATTTATCGCCTCCTTGAAGATGATGAATCGACCGCACTGAACTCTGGGATGAGTTCTGTTTGTGAGCCACGCCCAGCTCCTGAGGTCGCTGAAGAACTACGGCGCTTGATTCTTACCTTGTATAGCAAGTATTTGTCCAAGGATGGAAAGGTAACTTAGAAATAAATGTCACCATTAAAGGGCTCATTTAACTCATTTGCGCCCACTAAGTGTAAACGCGTACTTTCATAGAGTAGAGAATAACTGTGAGAGTTATCCTCTGTACCGACTCTTGAATCTGCCACGAAGACAAGTGCACAAATTTCTGTGTTTACTCTAAAACTGTGCAAAGCTCTCATATTCACAGCAAAGAGACAAACAGACAAGCAGACAGACAATTGAATAAAGGGGGTAGGTTTCCAAAGAAACTGTGGTGCTGTGTCGGCTTTGTTTTGATCAACTGAGTTGTCAACGTAAATTGGCCTCGGTAAAGAGTTTCTAAAGCTGATATTTCGAGCGTTAGTCCTTAGTCAGAGCGAATAGAAAGGATAGACAGACAGAAAGACAACGGAAAGACTGACAGACAGGCAGACATACAGAAAGACAGACGGGCGGACAGACAGACAGACTGATACAAACCGCGAATGTAGAGTTAAAGCGTCTAATTATAATACGTGAAGATGGAGGTTCTTAGAACCCGCCTAACCTCTTTGAGGTTGATTTCGCTCTGCGTTGGCATTACTCTGATAATCATTCAGTACAGACCGAACACTTACTATACAATTACAAGAAATTTTTCTAATGTTAAACAGGGAGTGGACTATGAGTCCATGGAAAAGAGCACAGAATTCAAGGGTTATGTTAAGCATACAGCTGAACTTCAACGTGTTAAATTGGATGGAATGTCTAGAGAGGAAACTCTTGCTTTCTTCATTAATGTATACAACGCTTTGGTGATTCACGCTAACGTAGTCAGAGGACCACCCGTCAACCTGTGGCAGAGATATAAGGTATTAAATGGAATAGTTTTTTTTTTGCCTTTAAGCCAAAAGAATTTCGGTAGCAGAACCTTTACATTAGCTAAGCAAGCTCCCTTTAAAATCAAATGATAAATTTTATTGCAGTTTTTCAACACCGTAAACTACATCATTGGTGGTCACTCGTTTGGCCTGAACCAGATTGAGAATGGCATCCTTCGTTCAAATCGCAAAGCTATTGGTGCCGTGACCAAGCCTTTCTCGAAGAGTGACCCTCGACTGAGAGTTGCGTTACCTGCTCCAGAGCCGAAGATTCATTTTGCTCTGGTGTGTGGAGCCAAAAGTTGTCCACCGATAAAGACTTATACCGCGGCGGTAAGGTTCAACTTCATTTTGACATGGTCTTATCTCTCATGTAAGCCTTTGACCTATAAGAGTGACTAACATCTATTTCTCCTCACAATATCACTCACGAATCACACATTAAGATCCCGATAATGAAGGAAATGATCACCAACAAAACAGTTTCTTGATTGTTAAAGAAGTTCTCCTTGTCAGCACCTTAGGAAACATAGCAAGTCTTGAGTGTTGCGATGCAGTGGTCACGTAATCTGAGTTCTTAGACCATGGACTCTAATTGAAATATTGTATTAAAAAAGCAGTTTTTCCTTAAAGTGTTTGTAGTAGATTTTGATATTTTTCCCTGGCTTCGTATTACAGACATGATAGTGACCTTTCTATTTGAACAGTGGACGTAGTTACTGTTGGCCCACTCATAACCAACGTGCAATAATGGAATTATTGTCAAATATAGGAATTTTCAATTGATTGTCGAAAGTAATCCGAGATTGCATTGGTTTCGCTTTACTTCTTTCTGTGATTAATAATGGTAATAGGACTGAGTGGAGTCCAATTCTGTCTGTAATCATGCGAGCGATAAACAAAATCAGACGACCGCAAAGCAGGAGTCCGATTTGTCAATCACGAGTATGATTACAGACAGAATTGGACGACACGAAGTCCTGTTACCAATTAATCATAACCGTTACAATTTTCGTAAAAAACAAATACATCTAGGACAAAAATCTCCTGTAGAGAAAAAGGTTAAAGAACAAAATTCCTCCATATCGGAAATTCTCCATTTTTTTTCAGCATGAGTGGTTGTTGCTATGGTTATTTTGCTCCACCCTTAACGACACTCAATCGAAAGAACGTTTATTCAGACATCACTGGAAAATTTTATTATCAAAGGCACCTAGTTCTTCTTCGAAAATGTTGTTGAATTAAGTGTATTTTAATTTTGCAGGGAATAGACGAGGAGTTATCCCTCGCAGCTGAGTCTTTCCTAGAAGGAGAGGATGGCTGCGTTCTTAACATGCCGAAAAGAGAGGTAAGACTCAATATGAGCTCACTTGTGTTTATCTTGAGCTGGATTCTCATCCACTGGAGACCACTCGGTGACAAAGTTTATTTATCCGAAAACGGCGGGTTCAAACCACGGAATAGGAGAAATTGGTGTGAAAATTCGTGAGTTGTGTCCAAATGTTTTATTCTAACAACTAAAAGGAGAAAACCGGCTCTCGTGTCAAAATAGATAATATCGAAAGGTATCGATCGTTCGCCGTGTTTTGATTCTACAATTTGTCAAGTAAGTGTTGGCTTAAAACAGTCGCACATTTATCACTTGAATTTTTCCTCGCCCCAGTTTCCTTTCTTTTCCATTAAGTTCTCATCGGGTGCTTTTGCTATCCATCTTTGTTCTGACTGGCCGTTTTGATTACTTTGGTTTGGTTTTTCGACACTTAAGGAAATGTGCTCTTGGAATCTACTTATAAAGACAATTTTTTTTTTAACGAAACAAATCCCAAGTTTTATGGTTCTTATAATGTGTTTTTACTTTTATAAATTGCTTTGCTCGATGCTCTAAACTTTGTTTGAGAAGGATTTCAATGTGAGTAAATGTAATCTCGAAAGAAGCATCTGAAACAGAAAGATGTGTCGCGATCTTGAGTTGAAATTGGCTTCAATATGATACATTATTTTATCTTTAGATTTGCCTAAGCAAGATTTTTCAGTGGTACAGGGTAGATTTTGGCTCCAACAACGAAGAGGTAAATATTATTAGAATTATTCCAATCACATTCGGAAATGGAGAAGGGTAAGACTGATGAACACGTTGAACCTTTCAACTGAACGAATAACACTGAACAAACGGAAAAAAAGCAGTGGAATTAACACACGAACAAACGAAAGCTCGTACGAACGAACGAAAGCTCGTATGAACGAACGAAAGCTCGTACGAATGAACGAAAGCTCGTACGAACGAAGAAAGCTCGTACGAACGAACGAATACAACAACGAATGGACGAACGAACGAACAAGCAGTGAAAGGAACAAACTTTGGAATGAAAAAACGAACGAACAAGCAATGAATGAACGAACGAGCGAAATGACGGACGAACGTATATGAACAACGAACGGACGATTGAACGAACGAATGAACGACTGGAAGTACGAACGAAAAAACGCACGACCAAACTTATGAACGGAGGAACGATAGAACGCACGAAAGAATGAGAAAATAAACGAACGACCGAACTTATGAACGGAGGAACGATAGAGCATACGAAAGAACGAGAAAACGAACGAACGACCGAACTTATGAACGGAGGAACGATAGAGCGTACGAAAGAACGAGAAAACGAACGAACGACCGAACTTATGAACGAAGGAACGATAGAGCGTACGAATGATCGAAAAATATGAACGAACGACAGGATGCAAGAACAAACGGACTAACTAAGGCACGAACGAATTAACGACCGACCGAGCGAACGACGAACAGCGAAAGAACGAATGAAGAAACAAGCGAAAGAAGGAACAAGTGAATGAGCAAACCAAAGAGTGCCTACTTGAAACGTTATATTTCACGCCAATATTCCTAGCCTTGATAAAAAGTGATTGTCCTAACAACAGTTTCAGATGTCTGGTTCCCCTTGTCCTTGGGTGTATCTTATACTGTTTTGTTTCCGTCTGACTTTTTTTTGTAGCTGGTTCAGTTTGTTCTGGCACATATGGGACAGGGCCAGAAGAAGGATCAGCTGCAGGAATTACTGATTAGTGGCAACTTTAAAGTCTCTTTCATGAGATATAACTGGGATTTGAATTCCAAACACTAAAACCTAAAGTACCAACCCGCTAATGTGTTAATTATAGGAATTAAACTGTAGTACGAAACAATCAGTTCAACGAATCAAGCCAACAGAGTGCACCCCCTGAAAGGCTTCAATTATCTTACAATATCTTCTCTCAACCCATTCCATTCCACGTCTCTTCTGTATTTGGAGATCCCAGGAGGATTTAGAAATAGCCAGTGGTGTGTAGTGAATCTTACACACATGAATACATCGCGTTATCTATTAATTTTTTTTCCAAAATAATCAAGTAATACATACAGTACATGGAAAATCATATTGGACCACACACCTTGAGTCTAAAAATAACATAACCAGGAATGGGGTTGTTATGTGGATATAAGTCTCTTAGCTTATTTTCTCTTGACTGCAAATCAGCAATTTATGGCAAGTTAATTAGAATATCTACGTTCCTGACAATGGTAGCTTGTATGTTGACCTTTAATGATAAGTTAATCCAAAGCATCCCCTCCAACAGTAAATTACAATTTTAAAGTTCTGTAGTTGCAAGCAGGTCTGTTGAGGTTAGAAATAGGTTTACCTATGTAATTGTTATTGGTATTTAATTCTAAAATATTCAAGTTGTAGATTTTTGTAATGATCAAGGTGCATCTTGTAACAGGGATTTATGTAAACACAATAGTATGCTATTTAAATGTACAAGTCCTATAATGGATAATGGGTAATTGGCTTTCCATGTCAGAAGCACAAATTTTGTCCCCTGTCCTAAGGGGAATTTACAGCTGGAGTACTGTTTTTCTGAAAGTTTTGGTTAGGCTACCAACATGAACAAGGTGGGTCCTTTTAAGTTCCATGACTTTTTTTAGTTTTTTGGGATCTAGATAATAAATTTACTACTTTTTTTTATTGTATTTAACACAACACAAGCTGTGGTTCCTATTTATTTATACTTTCAGTTGACAAATTAAACAATGAAAAAATGGTATTTAGTCAATGGTGTTTCACTTTAAAAAAATTCTGTGCAACAAGTTCCTGTTCAGAAAATAAGCATTGGAATTCTTCCATCCACGAGGGGAGGAACAAAGAGAAATTGAGCTTGTCTTAAAAGTTATTTGTCTGACATCTCAGGGGAGATAGATCCTGGGTATGCTATTTGTGTTGTGAGAATTCTAATAAAAGTATGAAGTACACACTTTATTACTGAAAATGTATTAAGAGTTGTTGTAAAGTTTTTCTCAAGTAGCTTCTACCTCACTTCAATGAAAGTTGTGATAATTTTTTTATGATGTATTTTTACACATCATTTCAAGTTCCATCATTGATTAAAATAGACATTCCTTATAATGCATCTTTTGGTAAGTAAACTTGCATTCTGAGTTTGAGTAGAAAGTTAAAAGCAGTATAACATCTCATCTGATGATGTGGAATCCTTGAAAGCACTAAGAGCACACCAATTTTGTAGAAACGCTGTTAATGAGATTTGTTATATCGTTTTGAAACCTTATCATGAACCAACTATGGAGAGTAAATCTTTAAATTTTTGTAACCAGTACCAGAAGTGTGAGGGTATACCTGTGATGAGGGAAGTTGCTTATGCAAAGAATATGACTTAAGTTTTCAAAAAGGTGTATTGCTTCAAAAGAGGGCCGAGAGCAAGTGTGGAACTTTCATTTGATAAACACTTTCCTCAAGATTGAGCCTCTTTTCAACTGAGTGTTTTAAAACAATAACTCATGAGAGTAGTCTTAACAGCTGACTCCATTAATGGTAATTTACTAAAGGAACAGATCACTACTTAAATCCAAATATGTAATTATATGATTATATAAGTAGACTTAGTCACAGGAAATTGTAAATGACCAAGTCTTGATTGGTTTTCAGTTTTCATATGATTGGTTGAGGTGGTGATGTAAGTTTTCCCAAAATATTACAAAGGGAAGTAAAGCAAAACCAAAGAAACCCCCAGATTACTTTTGGCACCAAGTTAAAAGTTACTTTCTGTGTCACTTCATACAATGTTGAGAAAGAGGAAAATTACTGAAAGAGGAACAACAGACAACAACTGATCAAACATGTCCATTTAATGCAAGTTAAATGAACATGTTATATCTACTATCTCTTTGGTAGAAATTTAAGTGCTTAAGAGGAAAAACTGCAGCTGATTTTCATATTTCATTCAAAATACTTCTTTAATAACACTTATCCGCGACTACAAGTGTACAAGCACACCCTACCTCAAGGTTGATGTGTCACAAGTTAACAAGAGTCACAAGATAAAAAAAGGCTAAATGAAAAAGTGTACTAGTGCCGTACTAGCTGTGGGAGTGGGCCACTTTTTTATTTCATTTGATTGTGCACCAGACTAAGCTAGAAAAGAGGCTTTGCCCAAAAGGGTGAAATCAATATGCAATTTCCAGAAAATTGAAACTGAGGTGTCATTATTTCTCTTCAGCAAATAATAATTAGGGAGTTTGACATGATGTGTTAAAGCTCCTGTCATGTGGAGAGAACTAAGTTGGTTTTCTTGGTTTCACTGAAAGTTTATTTAAATTTTCTCACATGTAAAGTGGATAAGAAAAACAAAAAGGTCTTTTTTTTTGTTAAAAAGTGTCTAGTTTTGACTCTGCTTATCAATCAAGAGCTGCCATATTTTTGACATAGGACTGCATCAAGGTTAAGTTGCAAAGATGTTGATTGGCTGGGAGATAGAGTTACTAATGACCTACTGACATTGAATGCAGGATTATAACATTACTATAATTAAATGTACAATGTAGAGTGGGTACTTTGGACTATCGCTGGTAGTTTGATCAAGGACCAGTTTTACAAAAAGGAATTTATTTTAATGGAATGTACATTTACAGTCACTGGAAAATTCTACACAGTTTATGCATCTTAAGTTGAAAAATTCAGGCAAAACTTTTCATTCCCCAAGTGCAGTTCAGTACCTTTTTAGCAACTGATTTTAGTGACCCATAACATTCCCCATCTTTAGTGAATCTTTTTTCCTTCTGGATTTAATGCCTTGGTGCTTGTTCATTCTGAGAAACGATCAGTTACACAGCTAACATTTAAAAGCTAGGAAAACCCTAAAATATTGTTCCATGACTGCTTTAAAAATGATATCTATCATACTATGGGTATGTCCAACAGTGATTGCCAGCAACCATATGTGGAAGCCATTTTTTACAGGTCCTCAGATTGTAATGCTTCAATGCAATCACTTGTTATGACTATTCATGACTTAAGTTAACATGTTTTTTGCATTCACTGACAATTGCTATTGATAACCACTACCAGTAACAGTATGTACATACATAAAGCAATGAGAGCAGCTCTTCTGTTTGAACAGCCACTGAGAACCAATTGAAAATACATTAAGCATAATGGCTACATAACAATATAACAGGAGCTCTTCAAAGGACTACATATCCGTACCGAAAATGATAGGATCAACCATATGTATTTGTGCACTAACATATACAGTTAGTACAAGTAACTTAACTTCCTTTTTCCTAATTTGTAGAAGGTCTTGAAATCCTAGTGCTTAGATAGTGCAAGGTTAACGACCTTTGCGTTTCCCGCTTTGATCTGAAAAGTTTCCTGAGCGAATCTGATCTGTAAAACAAAATGAAGCAGAAATCCACATGTTCACCCATGGCTAGTTCTTCATATTAGTTAGTTCTTCAAATAAGCCAAGTATCACCCTTCAAATCACAAGCAGTCTCTGGGATCACATAGATTTACTCCTGACAGACTAACTCAACTTCAATTGTATGATTTTTTTCAGTTAGGGTTGAGTTGTTTCATGGAGGCATGATTAATCATTTGATCCAGTTTAATTTGCAAAAGCAAAGTTTACTTTTAAAATACACAGATATTCTTGGGTTTGGGAGGCTCATCAGCCTGGCAGTTTGAGTGCTCAACTTTGAATTGAGACACTTGTGTAAGAGTCTCAGCCAGGTCACTGTGTTATGGTGGAGACTCTTTCTTTCCCTTGACAGTCCCCCTCCCTCCGCTTTGAAAAAACTACCAAGAGTTTAGAGTTCTACTGGAGGGGAAGGGGGGAAAGGGGTGTTATAATGCCCCCAATAGCACACACACCAAGGGTTTAAAAATAGCAGTAGTGTTGTAGTTACCTTCAAGCCACTCAACTCCATCAGAGAGTCCTTCTCCAGTGAGAGCATTACTTGCACTATGAATTCAACCAAAAAATACCATTGACAAATTAATGAAGAAACCAATGACACATAAATTGTACTGCAGCCATCTTAAGTTTGTATGATTAAATCAATAGTTTGATTATTGGTTTTTTCCTTTGTTTCAAATGATAAATTTATAATGAATCTTCTCACAGGGAATTACAGATCAAACAAAATTTAAAACTTGAGAGCATTCTGGTCTGAAATTCATTAAAAACTACTGACAACATGTAATTGATAAATTTTAAGCCCCACCTCCCCTTCCTCTTAAAAAGCACCTTGCCAATTAAAATTAGCCCGTGGGTAAAAGAAAAACAGCTCCTTAAGAAATCAGTTAAATTAGCTGCTCACCATATATGCCAGGGCTTATTCCTTATAGAATCTAGGCCCATTGCTTGTGAACACTGAAAAGTAAATTTAACATTAAATTCACTCTTAATTTCCCAGAAAGAAAGATATAAACAATCTTACTTGTATGCTTACCTGTCATTACATGACAGTGTAGGTTACTGGGTGAATTCTACTAGAAATAATGATATCTCTGATGGCTTTACTTAATTACAACTGTCGCAGAACAACTGATTCTTGTTGATCAGCAACTTGTTAATACATTCAGTTATCTTATCATGGTATGATTCAAAAACTGCCCAACAAGATGGAGTTAAGCAGTAATTGGAATCTAACTATGACTACATTACAGTCCCTGATAATTTGCATCCAGTGGTATGATTCCTTCTGTATGTTCCTGGTTATAAATTTAGCACATATCCAGATGGAGGGTTGTTAAGGGCACAGATTGTGTTCTTTATGCAAACTGCAGTCACTCAACCCTTAACACCCCAACATCAGTATGCATAATCTCCATACTGTTCTCTATACATTTCTTAAGATGCTGACAAGGAGAATTTGTTTAACAGTCAAGAGCTTATTTAGTTGGTGATCATCTCCTTTATTCTCATGACCTTAGTGTGTGATTCAGAGGTGATATCAAAAGGAGAAATTAGATATTAGTCACTCCAAGGGGTCAAAGGATTAAGTTAAAAAGACTGTGAATTATTTCAGTGTTACCTGTCATGTACATTCATAAAACATCTCTACTAAAATTATTTAGCATCATACCTGCACTGGTGAGAGACCATTACAATCCATTTTATTAGCAAAAAATAAAATAGGTACTCTTCTTGAAGCAATTTCTGGAAATAAACAACTATATTACTTGAATATTTTGATACACAATCATAATAATCCAACCATAAGTTATATTTTAGAATAGATTGCTACAATTAGTTTTATTTGAAAATTGAAGATTCTATCTGGGCAAATTTTTGCGAATGTATAAACATTAAAGATTCATTAAGGATGCTCATTCAACCACCTAATCTTATACTAAACTTTAATTTGAGAAATATAATTATATTCCATTACATGCATATTTTAGCAGATGTTTAATAAATGTTCAGTATCAGTCTCACCTGGGTGTTGTAATAAAATATTTAACTCCTCTTTGGCTACCACAATTCTTAGCTGATCACTGCTGTCCAGCACAAATATTACTGCTTGTGCAGTTCTGAAATTTAACAAAATATAATGCTGAAGTTAGGAAGACAAATAAGGGATATAAGTAAGATCTCATCTCCCTTTCTTTTCAGCTCTCACTGTATGAGATGTAAAATGGCTCACTTCCAAATTTCAAATTCATGATATGTAAACAAGTTAGGACAACACTTGCACACTTTGAGGAATGAAACAAACAAACTTAACCCTTTAACTCATAATATCTGATTGTTAATTCTCCCCTCTAGCAGCTACACATTTCCTCGTAAATTGGTTATGAAAACTGGGTGTTCAATCAATATAATACCTTGTACCTGATAAGTTTGAGTATTCTCACTACCTCTCTGCTGGATATCATATGGATACTTTATGGAGAAGTTACATGTTAATCACTTCTGTGTGAAGCTTACAAGCCTTTGGGTCTTTTATTTTCTTTACCAATTGATGTAAATCATGGTAATATTATATGTATTCTAACCTATACTAGGGTCTCTTATATATTTCTGAATTTAAAAATATTTAAATCAGGCCATTTTTTACATGGTTATAAGCAGACAAAACTTACTATCAAGAAAAAAAAATTGGCTATCATACACATACTTGTAATAGTGTTCCCATAGAGTCCTGTATCTTCCTTGACCAGACATATCAAAAACTGTAAAGGTGAGGCTGCAAAACAGGCACAACCAAACAAAAGAAAAGCAATTTACAATGTATGAATGATTTTAGATTTTGATACACGGAGAGAATTAATCTGTGTCGCTAACCAACAAAGTAAAATAAGAAAACACTAGTTTCTCAGAAAAATGAAAGTAGCTCGTCAGATTTTTTTCGTTGACTACCACAGGCATTAAAAAGGTATACAGAGGTATTCAAATGTGTGAAATCAGCAAGTTTCTGGAAAAAAGTTGGTAAAAAAAAAAGATTTGACTATGTTCCACACAGGAAAACCTTGCATATTTCATACTGTAATTTAACTGTAATTCTAGCGTGCAGTATCAGATGAACTTGCTCCACAAATAGAATTTACTTGAGTTCAGTATTTTAAGCCTCGACCGATAACACGATATGATTGAACGGGGTGCGAAAATTCCAGCTATAATTAAGGAAGCTGACACGTATAAATTAAAGTTGTGTTAAGAAATTGATTTTGCCTGTCGTCCGGTACCGGTGGCAGTATCCTAAGGCGTGCGAACCTCGCACTTACTAAATGAAGGCTACTAATTGTAGTTAAGAAAAGCGAATTTTATAGACTAACCTTTGTGACATAAACTTTTCCACTGTAAATCCTACAGTTGGAACAATGTCTTGCGCCTGAGACTGAAATAAGAGAAACAATTAGGGAAGTCCTTCGATCGATCAATTGACGTAACTTGTGATTCATTTAATGATCCAAGATCTCTTTACCGCGGCGGGTTTCAGTTTGTTGATTATCGTTGTTTTTCCACTGTTATCAAGACCGATGCAAAGGACATTAATTTCCTTCTTTCTGATGCCCATCCAGATCGCAAGCCTGTCGAATAATGCCATAATTAATTACAACGGCGCCTTCCAACATTTGTTTTAGAAACAAGTTCTTAGTAACCACGCAGCTTAGTTCAGTTGTCAGCTATCGTATGGTACTGGGAACTACTTTATTTACGTCATACGAGAAATGGCTGCCTCGAGATGTGGTTCTTCAAGAGATTTCCTTCGAATTTCAATCAGGATTCGCCGCCATTCCTCCGCTTTGAGTGGAACAGCAAGTAAGTGTATTTTTATTTGCATTTATGTGTGAGCATCTGATGGAACGAACAAGATCTGGATTAAATCTTGCGCTTGGTAATTTGATTTTCATATCAAATGCTGTTAGAATATTTTTACAAATTCAATTTCTTTGCCTTAGCAGGCCTCTCACAACAAATACGAAAAGTTCAAGGGCCAGTCGGGTTTATTAAAATAAAATTGAAATTCACACGCAGAGAGAGACTAGCATCTAATTTCTCCTCACATTATACCACTGAGTGAAGCACTCTTTATTCATAAGAATAAAGGAAACGATCACAGAATAAAAAATCTCATGATTGTTAAACAAATTCTCTTGTCAGTACTAAGGAGAATGTATGGAGAACAGTATGGAGAATATACATACTGATATAAGGATGTCAAGGATTAAAAAGAAATCCTAGAGTTCTTGGACAAACTCAGGTATATGGCATCTTTGTAACACTGACTGATATGTTCCTTGTGATCAAGAGTCGTGTGCAATTGTTTGTTTTGTGGCCTCTCAGGATATCTTCTTGTGGAGCAGACACCTTTTTGGGCACTCACTTACTTGTAGGGAAAAGCTCAACTTAGTTACATTTCAGTACCATGTTAAAGTGGCCAAATTATTTACAAGGTTTTTTTCAATACCTGCAGCACATATCTGTAATGTTATTTATTATTTTCAGATGACTTTCTTGGTGTACCAAACCCAAATGTTAATAACCAAGAGGCAGGCCCTTTGAAAAAATATGATGAAACAGTCAGAAGTGGAAAGTTAAAGCTTGATAGACATCAGAGGCAAATTGTTGAGCATCTACAAAGATTGTACAATGATGTAGTTAGTTATAAGCCCACTAGCGGTGGATTTTTTAGTAAGGTATGTTATTTCAAATTGAATGAAATGAATGCATTTTAATCTTCTCCATTCTCACAAACTTTTTATGAAATTTCATATCAAAGTTTTAGTGCATACCTTTTTAATAAAATGAAGTCCAAGGTATTTACTGGGAAGGACAGCTTGTTTTTTTCAAATTATAGAGCATTGATATTTTAAATTTCTTATTATCCTTAATTTAAATGTTTTCTGTTTTGAGCTTAGTTAGGCAATTGAGACTCTTACTTTATTTGACAGGTTTTTGGGCTGCAGAGTAATAAAGAAACTCCTGTGGGTCTTTATCTTCATGGAAGTGTAGGTAAGAAGTGGTCACTAAATACCTGATTCAGCTGGGGCTGGACAGCACTTGGTTTTATGATATAGTTTAAAACAAATCTGTTATAATTACTATAATTAGATTTAAGTTACTGTTTGTATATTTTTGTATCTTTTCAACCATAGTGCAACTTTTATTTGACTATCAAAAGCAATTGAGGATTGCTTTGGGTTAGGGTTATTTTTTTAGTTTTGTACACATTGAGATTGGTTTTGAAAAGTCTAACCCTTTTCTCTACTGATAACATGCAATACTAAAACCAGTTTCGATGTTTCACTTGTGCATTCCCAAGCTAGAGGTCATGAAGACATACGTTATGGTTGACATGACATAAAGCTCTCAAAAGCTCCTGATGACATTTATCTTTAATGGTTTTTATTCATTACTTTTGATTGGTTTGACCCTTTAACTCCCAAGATCTGATTGTTAATTCTCCCCTCCAGCTGCTACACATTTTCCTGTAAATTAGTTATGAGAACTTGATGTTAGATCAAGATAGCAGCTTCTACCTGATAAGTTTAATATTCTCATTATCTGTTTGCTGAATAACGTATAGATATAATAGAGAGAGTTTTCATGTCAATCACTTCTGGGCGTTAAAGAGTTAATGTACTTTTTAGTTTATTAGGTGTTCTCTGTCCAATAATCGGAAGTTGTTGTTTCGGGAGATGTTTCTGAGTATATCTTACATTGATCATGACTCTTTTAAAACAATGTATTTTTTTAAGGCTGTGGCAAGACAATGTTAATGGATTTATTTTATGATGAAGTTCCTGTTGAAAAGAAACAAAGAGTTCATTTTCACTCATTCATGTTGGATGTCCACTCAAGTATGTATTTATCTTTGCCCTGTGTTAGTAATTATTATAGACAGCCTGTTTCAATCAAGCCTCTATTACCCACCCTCTTTTTACAGCTTTTGCCATCTTCTTCAAATGTTATTGAAGCCCTTGCTTACGTTCATTATATTGATGACTGTACAGATTGTTTCTTACAGATATGTAAAATTTCCTTTTTCGGCTCTTACTTGGTGTAGAAGACACAGTATATGTCACACTATTGTTTTCATTGTTTTCTTATTTCTGGTTATGATGAAATTCCATCATGATGTACTCTGTGTCCTCTACACCAACTAAGAGCTGTTTTTTGCAGACTGACCATTTGATACATGTCCATACTTTGTCTGCACTATGTAGGTATTCACAAATTAAAAGCTAGTCTTCCTCCAAGAGACCCCAAGTCCATACGAGCACAGCCCTATGATCCTATCCCACCTGTTGCAGAGCAGATCAGTTTGAAGTGGTGGCTTTTGTGTTTTGATGAATTTCAGGTGACACTTCTTATTTTATAGCTATGTTTATTGATACCTTTCTTTCTTGCACAGGCTATTTTAACCCTTTAACTCCCATGAGTTAGAGATCATGTATTTTTGACAAATTTAAACAAACTTTCTTCTTGTTCACAGGTGACAGACATTGCAGATGCAATGATTTTAAAAAGACTATTCACAGCTCTGTTTGAACAAGGAGTTGTTGTGATTGCAACATCCAATAGACATCCAGATGGTATGCACCAGAATGTACTTATGCATTCAGTCAGTGTTTCAGAAAGATAAATGTGTTTCTTTTAAACTTATTTTCTTTAAAATTTAAAAAAAAAACAAATTGCCAGTAGATGTGAACCCATAGCCTTTTGCAAACTAGCACATAGTCAAGGGAAATGATGTCAGTGATGAATATTCACTTCTCTCCTTTTCACTCTCATTGGTTAGACTTGTACAAAAATGGCCTTCAAAGAAGCAACTTCATTCCTTTTATACCTATTCTCAAGGTGAGGAACTGGTCATCTGAACATTTGAATCTATTGCAGCTATATTAATCAAAAGGACTGGAATCTTCAAGCTTTGCCTTTAGATTTGAAATAACTGGTTTACTGAGGCTGTAGATGATTTCCTAGATATAATTGTGGATTTGGAAAAATTTCCTATGATGATAATGTTGTTATTGAAGGAAATCTTGAACAAATCTTTTTGGAATTTCATCTTTCCTTCCTATCCTTAAAGACCCTCTGCTGCCCCCCCCTTCTCCATATAGCCCATGGCAATTTTGAATACAGAGTAGTCTCCAGGCCTCCTTTGTTTGACATCAGGATTCATGCACTTTTAAGAGATTTACATAGATAATTCTGTGAGTATGTATGCATTTCTTTTTGTTCAATAAAAGGATAGTTGACCCTTAAATGACTTTTTCCCTTTTTTTTTTCTTTGCTATAGAAAAATTGCAAAGTTCTTTGTCTTGACTCTGGTATAGATTATCGCAGAACAGGTATGTGTGCTTTAACACTCTCTTGGAGAGTGTTTTTTTTTTTTATAAAAATTCCTGTTTACATGCCTCCAAGGTAAGTTAATATTCTATAATACTTTAATGTTGAAGAGGTTAACAGGACTCTTACTGGAACAATAGATGTTATACACTTAATGTATGTTCCCAAGGGAAACAGTTAGTTTTGTTTTCCAGAGAGTCCTGATGTTTCCATAGACAAAGTCTTGGGAAACATCAGGACTTGAGGGAAAACAAAACTAACTAGTTTCTCTTGGACCACACATTTAGTTCTTTGTTGCATATTTAGACTTTCCCTTAAACGATCATAAGGTAAAAACATGCTATAAATAATTGTAATCGGTGTGCAGGCAACAACTACACAATTGTATCCCAGTAGGGATACAATTGAATTTGATCAGGGGCATGTGACCAAGAATCAACCAATCTCAGTGCTCGTTTTGTTGAGTGAAAGTCTAGGTATATAGCAAAATAATTTGTATCAAATACAGATTACTTTGATTACTGGTGGTGATGTGGAAAGTGCGCGCTATAACATTTTTGCTCAGTCACGGTGGTGGGCTGAGGTCTATGGACTACTTGGTTTTAACAGTCTTTTTTCATCCTTTTTTATGTTCAGACATGTCCTTTATTGGAAAGGTATTTTTCAGGTTGGTAGATAACTTTTGCTACTTATTAACTGCATCAGGTTTCTCCAAATTTGTCCCACCAGTCCTTTGGTCATCAAGGACTGGAATGTTTTTTTTTTCTTTAGGAAGTAAGGTCGGTGGGTTGTTTGATATCGACGTAATGATTTATTTTTAGTGATTAACTTTTTATTTTTTTATTAATTCACTTTCGCTAGTTCTCTTGGAAAAGAGACAACCAATGAACTGGACTGGATATTCGCTAATTTAGCTCAGCAACAGAGAAACGGTACGTTACCTTAACACATGGAACATCTCTGATTCATAGAGTTATGCGCAAGAAAATTATTGTAGACATGTTAAGACGGCTAAGTTTTGTTCGCTAAATGTGATTAGTCAATGGCGTGTGCTAGGTTCTCGTAGAACGGTGATGGTCTAGGAAGGAAGCATAGCGGAGGATCGCTTAGTATTTCAAATATCTCCGCGGTATTTCACTCTCGTGCCTTTCTCGTAGTCTTCATTTACTTGATTAGCTGCTCTTTATGTCAGTAAGCAGGCACTAGTACGTTGAAGGATGCTAATAGTAAGCCTGAACGTATGTTTTACGGGATAAACTTTTGCATTTGCTTCCCTTGATAAGCGCGCT